TGCCGTGCCTAGGCGAATGGCGAAGAACTCGAGCTGTTACCACCTGTGCATGTCCCGGCCGTCAAGTGAGTCACCCAAATTCATTAGATGGAGAAATAAGCAAAATCAGTGTTGCTCCGTGACCACAGGGTTCCTCTGCTTTTTTGTAGGTCAGAAACAAGAGGTCTGTTGTGGCAGATCACGTTCGTCCGGGACTCATCCTCATTCCTCATGACCTAGGGTTAATAGCCACATTTGACCATACGCTAGAGGTGTTAACGGATATAGTATGAATATGCGTAGGGCGACATGATGAATGGGCCGATGACAATTTCCATCGCAGGTTTGGAAGGGTAATGGGTGGTATGTTTATTCGCCGGTGCGATCTTACGAAAGTGCAACGAGAGCTGATGTCCACAGCCACGGCAATGGCGCTGATTTCAGAGTTCGTTTCACCGTTCATGTGGCTTCATTGAGATACACGTTTAATCAGATCGCTTAACAGCTGTAGCTCGAAACCTGAACGATACTCTGAAACAGAATGGACCAAAATCAACGCTAAATGGCATGGAACTCATCAATTCTTTCCCTCAGCATTACTCCCATGTTTAGATTATCTTTCATGTTTGTCCTGGATTTGATATTGTGGTGTATCTCCTCGATATCTGGTATATATGACAGAAACTGGAATGGTCGGTTCAGGATGACGAAGTATTTCGGCTTCATTGTTTATTTTTTTCCTTCACCTGCTGCGTAGGGAATTCCACTCTGAGTGTCGCCTTTTCTAGTCGACTGTTTGAGCGGAAAGCCATTGGTTTGTCTTTGTTGGCTGTGGGAATTGCTGATGTTCTTGAAACTGCTGTATCACTCTTCATATTCTGTAAGAAAATTATATCACTATCATAATCAGCAGTTTCACGAAAACAAACTAAAGAGTTTCGAAAACTGATTTTGGGTGTCCTGTTCAAGATGACCGGTGAACATTCGGTGGTTACAGATACGAACTAGAAACTGATCCTTTGCTGTCAAGTTATCGACAAAATGATTTTGCATGCCGTGAGAGTGGCAACGTTGATTTGACCATAACATTAGAGTAAAATAAGTTAAGGACTTCGACATCTGCCTTGAGTTGCAGACAGGCGGGCTTTTAAACATCGAGAAACATTTGTAGTAACTGGAAAAACAAAGTTTTAATGAGTCCAGAAATGAACTCCTTGCTCGTCTTTCCAGTGTCGTCTAAAAATTTGCTTGTGTTAGGAAGCATGACCAAACTCGCACTGCGCACCCTGCACAGCACCTACTTAAGAAAGAAAGTTTTTCTCCAGGAAGATCGAGGAGCAGCTGGAAGCGAAGTGGTCGTTCAAAGCGTAAGTGAGGTCATATTTAATTCTTGTCTTAGACGCTGTTTCATAAGGAAATCAGATTAATGGATTTGCATAATTAATAACTTCGACAGGTGCTTGAACTTGCTTGACAGTGATCATCGGCAAGTCATTCACTTTCGATAGCCGCTTGTCTTTTTGAATAGCGGATGCAGCAACGTCATGCAGTCATGATCCCGCGTCTGACCTTTGACAGAAAATGTCTGTTGCTGGAATACAGTTACTATCACTAATACTGATCGTTCATTATTCATTGATGCTAATCTTCTTGAATGTAGAATTGTCAATATCTGGCCGTTGTCAAGTTATTCTGATCGAGGCTGTTATCACTGCAGCCCAACTTGCAATGAGATTTCTAAATTATCATAATAATCCTCATCAGTTTTGTTACGGTCCATGGCAGGGAACAGGCGTTACACGCGTCCAAGGAATCTGTCGCATGGTTTTGCTTAATGTGAACTCATCCACCCTGTTACAACAAATGTTTTGATCTTGTCTTGTCCCTCATCTAACTCTTATATACTTTTACATCGTCTCTCTGAAATCAGTCAATAATTCCTTTGTCCAACGATGGTCTGTTACTTTTGTTGCATATCCAGCTTGTTATCAATTCAATTTCTTTGCTCATGCAAACCTTACAGAATCCTCATTACGTTTTTAATTCGTTCGCTCCTTTTCTTGTTTATTCCTGGTATTCTGAAAATGCACTTTCAATTATGCGTACCATACGTCTAGTATGTATTTTCGAAACATGTTTCAAGATTAGTACCCGTTTCGCATCCACACATAATCATTAGAAACACTCTATGACTGAAGACCTCTCCTTCAACCACAGAGGTAGGTTTCCAAAATGGCAGCATAT